GTTGTAGGAGATTCAGAATTTGATTGCTAATAGCCATCGCTGGATTTTCATCTTTATGCGAAGTACCTTTCTCATACCTACCTCTTTTTTTTTGGTTGAAGCTTCTCCGTACGATATTCTGAAGTTGGATGAGAATCAACTGGCGCTTAATGCTTTTGGGACTCATAATGATCACTTGTAACCATCTCATACATGTTGTCTAGATCATTCACATATTCTTCATTCGAATCTCCTCCAACTTTGTATGTACGTGCATCCGTGCTATCACCTAATGCAACTGCATTTTCCCAGTAGCAACACCTTCCCCAAATATGATTTGTAACTCGTCAAAATATTCAAATGTATCATAACGTAGGTTTTTATTGTTTGGATGTGCCTATGGAAACAAAATAACAAACTAAGAACGTATAAATATGTAGTTCAATAATTACTTTAAAAAAATGTGAGATACTTACTTTTATATAGACATCCCAAACTTCATCAGATGAGGTCCATAGAAATCTGGTACCGTAGTTTTAAATACTTGTGTCTACTTAAATAATGCTTGTAATTTTTTCTTCTGTGGAGCACAATATCTTTGTTGATTTCTGGTAGAATTTTTGATTCAACGGTTAATTTACTAAATGAACCATTAGAATCGCGCCAATTATTGTTGATCCCTTCCGCAAGAAGTTTTACCAATAGCTTAGTCTCATCGGGAGTCCACGGGTTGTTTTTTTCCTTTTGCTTGTTTTGTGAATCTCCCATAGTGATGTTTAGAGGTAACTAATCATGCATTAAATTACAAAGTAAACATACGTTAAAGCAAAAAAGAAATTACAAAAATAATAATGAGCAAGATAGAGAGAGTTTACCTTGGAGGCACTAAGAAATCAAAAATTTTACGCATGAGAAGAGAGATTTACATGATATTAGTATATATAGTGAGCTCGTTCATAAAGATAAACATGAAGTTAATATATAAAGATAAACATGAAATTAATATAAAGATAAACATTGGGTGAATATTTTATAAGAAAAAGGTTTATGATAATATTGTAATGTATGATAATATTATTGTTTCGATCTTAGAAAAAATATTTTCTAATCCATTGTATATCGTGCCTCCAACAGAAACCAACAGAACATATATAATATTATTGCCTACATGTTCATGGTTTTTGTTTTAGTTAGCAATTATTTTAACTATCGTCTACATGAACATGCATGCCACTTGTTTCTAACGACTTAGCAACTTCTTTTTATTACAAGTGTTTTTGTTCAAAGACTCTCTCCTTGAAGCGTTAGAGAAGATAAATGCTGGTAAATAATGATTGATGAGACTGAGTCAAGCTTGATTTGTTTTTTTTTTTCAAGACAAAATAGTCATTGATGCAGAGCTCATGATTCTTGGGTTCATTTTCCTTGTTACTCACGTTTGGAGAATCACATACAATTTTCTAGACAACAATTCATTTCTTCTTTTACGTCGTAAAAAAACCATTTCTCTTTTCTCTTCCAAATGCATCAAACGTTTTTTAAGGCAGTTCTTTGCATCCGTGGGAAGAACCGACTACTTGTCGTAGAAACAAAATTTTCATTCATAATAGTTATTAAAATACAAAATGTAAAGAAGAAGGGTTTAACAATATATTTTTGGGCTACCAAAACACGGAAAAAATTTTTCCACACAGATCGAAGAAAGATGAAAAACATAAACCTTGTAAAAACTAATAAATCAGTTATCTTTGGCTACCAATATTAGTAGCATCTCTCTACATATCTGCAGCTATGGCTGTTCTCCAGTCTCTTGCATGCTCTCTTTCTTGTTCTTGTGTTTCAACAATTTCTTCACCAC